TCACAAGTGAAAAACATTCAAGACAATTGCCAATCTTACAAGGACTTGACGTCCCAGAAAATTCAACCAAAAGTCAGGCCATGCAATGCTTAGAGAAATTGCAAAAAAACTCAAGAATTACATCTCAGACTCTACAGGCCTCAATTAGCATGGTAAATGTTAAAGTTCATGACAGTATAATTACAAAAATACTGAACAAGTATGGTTTGTTTGGAAGGGTTGCCAGGACAAAGCCTCTTCTCCCTAAAATGAAAATGGCAGCATGGCTTAGGATCTCAAAGTTGTTTCTGAATAAACCACAAGACTTCTGGAACAATGTCCTTTGGAAAGACGCGACCAAAGTGGAGATGTTTGGCCATAATGCACAGTGGTACATTTAATGAAAACCCAACGCAGCATATCAGCACAAACACCTCATACCAACTGTCAAGCATGGTGGTGGAGGAGTGATGATTTGGGGTTGTTTTTTTAGCCACAGGACCTGGACACCTTACAGTCATTGAGTTGACTATGAACTCCTCTGTTTATCAAAGTATTCTAGAGTCAAATGTGAGGCCATCTGTCCAACAGCTAAAACCTGGCCAAAATTGGGTCATGCAACAGGACAACAATCCTAAGCACACCATCAAGTCTACAACCTGCATGCAAAAAAAACCTGTCTAACCACTAAGGTTAAAAACAGAGGTTTTAGATACACATCTTCTGCAGAATATGTGAAAGCCGCACTGCCTGGTCAAGGCTCCTCTGTGTAGTGCGGTCCTAAATCTAACCTATTGGAGCACATGTAGCAAAAGATAACATTGGCTGCAGGTTCACCAGGAGGCAGCCCAACCTCATTAAAGGCACAGGGACACACAAGAACTCCACACATCACAACGGCAGCTGAGACCCCCAGTGTGTCACTGCACCAAATCAGTCAAGCAAAACAAATGGAAAACACACTCATCAACTCATAACCAGCTTTAAAGCAAGGTGCACATGGAAGGGCTTTATACAGTACAACAGCACTGTGTAAAGTGCTGTTGTGCTTGACATAATTTTTTCAGATCGCACTGGACCAGAAAGCAGGCACTTATGTGCCACTCGTTCTGGTGCGGGCGATCGCACTGCGGACGGGGGGGGCGTGGCTGCGGTGCCATTGATTTCAACTCCCCCTCCCGCCCCTGAACACAGGAAGCCGGCTGGGATGCAATCCAGTGCGTTCTAGCAGCGAATCGTGCTGGAACGCACCAGAGCTGGTGTGAACAGGCCCTGAAAGTCAATCATTCTATAGTGAGGAAGATTATTCACAAGTGAAAAACATTCAAGACAATTGCCAATCTTACAAGGACTTGACGTCCCAGAAAATTCAACCAAAAGTCAGGCCATGCAATGCTTAGAGAAATTGCAAAAAAACTCAAGAATTACATCTCAGACTCTACAGGCCTCAATTAGCATGGTAAATGTTAAAGTTCATGACAGTATAATTACAAAAATACTGAACAAGTATGGTTTGTTTGGAAGGGTTGCCAGGACAAAGCCTCTTCTCCCTAAAATGAAAATGGCAGCATGGCTTAGGATCTCAAAGTTGTTTCTGAATAAACCACAAGACTTCTGGAACAATGTCCTTTGGAAAGACGCGACCAAAGTGGAGATGTTTGGCCATAATGCACAGTGGTACATTTAATGAAAACCCAACGCAGCATATCAGCACAAACACCTCATACCAACTGTCAAGCATGGTGGTGGAGGAGTGATGATTTGGGGTTGTTTTTTTAGCCACAGGACCTGGACACCTTACAGTCATTGAGTTGACTATGAACTCCTCTGTTTATCAAAGTATTCTAGAGTCAAATGTGAGGCCATCTGTCCAACAGCTAAAACCTGGCCAAAATTGGGTCATGCAACAGGACAACAATCCTAAGCACACCATCAAGTCTACAAAGGAATGGCCGAAAAAGAAAAGAATCAAGGTGTTGCAATGGCCCAGTCAAAGTACAGGCCTCAACCTGATTGAAATGCTGTAGCGGGACCTTAATAGAGCCGTGCATATACAGATGCTCGCAAACCTCAATGAACTGAAGAAACAAATTTCCTCCACAACGATGTGAGAGACTGATAAAGTCATACAGAAAATGATTATTTCAAGTTATTGCTGCTAAAGGTGGTTCTACAAGCTACTGAATTATAAGGTATACTTATGTTTTCACGAGGGCGGGCGCATGAGCGGCGCGACCAAGATGGCCGCTTGAGTCCGGAGCTCCGCGCCTCGACGGCCAAACGATCCCCATCCCGGCAGCTCTCAGGCAGCGGGTGGCCCTGCAAGTCAGGAAGAAAGTCGGTCTTCCCCCACTCTAACGGCTGATGGCCGGAGGCTCCTCTAAAAAACGGTGCACACGTCGCACGGGAGCCCCCGAAATCCGCCGGCACGCGTTACAAGATGGCGCCCGTCTCCTCTTCACCTCCATGCCGTCTGTCTCACTCGACCCAGGATGCTGAGGAATACTCGGATGGCAGTGATCCGGCTCACAAAGGTACTGTACCTGAAGCCCGCAGATCCGCAGCCTCCACTTCATCTCTCATAGAGAGAACACTTGAGGACATGTTCCTGGCCCAGCCTGTGTCATCCCCCCTAAGCACAGGCATGCTGGAGAAGGCCCAGACCTCTGACACCATGGACTTAACTGCCTGCCCTGCACTATTGTCTAAAATCTCTGATTTGTTTGATCAGAGATTTTATATTAGGGCAGATCTTCAAGCCCTGGGCTCACGAATTGACACGCTGGAATCTAAATTAGACAGCACGGTTACTCGCACTAACCAAAATACTGCACAGACCTAAGACATACATGGCCAGCTGGAGGAGGCCCTATCCAAAATCGACGACCTGGAAAATAGGTCCCGTCGCTACAACTTTCGCGTCAGGGGGCTCCCTGAGTCAGTGACTGATTTAGATGCTGCTATACGCTCCTTCATTAAAGATTTACTTCCTGATCTTGATGAACGTAGGCTGGAACTGGATCGTGTTCACAGAACCTTGTTGTGGTTAAACCTCATTTCTACCAGGTCAAGGAGGATGTCATGCGCAAAGCCAGAGAGCGCCCAGAACTGTGTATGCTGGGACATGCTATTCAACTTTTTGCGGACATTTCGCCTTCCACTATCCAGAAGCACCGATCCTTGAAGCCACTACTACAGGTCCTCACAGCGAAGGGTGTGAAATATGGCTGGGCCTTCCCTTTCCGTTTATTGTTTACATACTTATGTTTTCACACATGGCTTCTCCATTTTGGCTTTATGTGTGTAAAATAAATAATGACTCGGTGTAATATATTATGTGTTGTTCATCTGAGGTTGTATTTACCTCATTTTAAGACTTGCTAAGGATAAGATGATTTTTTATTATGTCCTGATACTTAAAACCAAAGAATTCAAAGAGGGTGTACTAGGGTTTTTATACGCTATGTAATAAACAACCTGTGTTTTTTCTCAGATCTTAATAAGTTTTGTTCTGGGTTCTTCAGCCCGGAGCCTTTATGGACCTTGCTACGTAAAACCATAGAATTCTAAGAGGATGTTTTTTCTTTGTCACATGACTAGGCTGTGGCTGGCCGTCTGAATGAGCTGGTCTATGAATGCACCCCTAATCAATGCCACATGAGGGTGAATCTTCCTAACGTCAAACTCCTGGCAGATTTAAAAAAAAAAAAAAAACACCAATTCATGCATGTATGTGTTTATTAAAATCATTAAGTGTATTTTTAAAAACAACTAGCATAAGTACCTAAATCTGACTTGGATGGCAGACTCTCACAATACTCTCACAATATAGCCAAGACAGGGACTGGGAAAGGGAAAAACAACACAAAGAGCCAATCAGTTGTGCTGCTGTGCTCACGTGCTAACAAAGAATATGCTGACAGGAGGACTGAGAATTAGTCTGTTGTTTCCTCTTCTCCTTCATCATGCAATCATGCAATCACAGGGTAGGGGCAAGGGCAAGAACTTGTTATATTCCTTAACAGCAGTAGAGAAAAGTCAGTTCTCCAGGCTGGCTATAGTGTCTGAAAGGGCTGTATAACTCTCAGGAGGGAATGGAAAGGAATAAAAATCAGAATTGTAATAGGAATACATACTATAGCTGTTTTTGATACTGCAATCACAGCTTACTTTGATGTACTGAGTGCTGCCTTTCGTCTCCCATCATTTTGAACAACTTCCTGGAGTCCCAGTGTGATTTGCATCTCTTTCCCTGCTGCTTCATGTGATGCAATCTTGATTTCTCAAGACTACATATCCCATTATGCATTGCTTCCACCAAGCAATGATGATGTTACATTGTTCAGTCGTTGAGTTGCAGTTCAGAAGGCAGGCTCTGTGAAAGTTGACAGAGCTGAGTGAAATTGTGTCAGTACATTGAGGAAGTACATCCTATGAGCATCTTCAATAAGTAAGTTTACAAACTTCTAGACTGATTTGGTTATTAGAAGTGGATAGAACCTATGGAAATTCATATAGAAATATACATTTATATTTAGGTTATGACCATAGATACCTTTTAAGTAGGAACATGGAGGAAATATGTTAATTGGTACTGAAAAATATTCTATCCAAAATGTGATTGTAAAATTGTATTAAGAAAAAAAAATCTAATGAAAATATAACATTTACCCTGTCCTAAATAGACTTTTTTTCCCTCCAGAGCAGTGTAATCATTGAATGAGCTACATTAGCACATTGTATGTTGGAAATATTACTAATAAGCAACTCCAAGGACGTTTAATGACAAGTGGCTGATTTCAGGAGGTCATTACAAGACTGCTGCTCTCTTGAAGCTTTCTGCAAGGATCTATGCTCTATGACTTCCATTTTAACAATTCTCTACATTGCCCTAAGCAGCAAACATAAAAGCGCTTCAGAAAGAGACACGAATTCTCCACAGCTTTAAAATCCCAGCCATCTGACGTAGAAGGATTTATAGGTTTAGTGGAAATTGCTTTTCCCAGCATGCAGATTAAATACTGAGTGGCGTTTCTTTTCTGTATGGGTAAACATCCTTCTAATAATGAGATGACCCACCAATATTTTAAAGAAAAAACTAAATTTGGTGTTAGTGTTTCCAGTCTGGATTATTTTTGGGCCATAAACTTCAAGGTAACATGCTGACTAGGAGCTTTATTTGGATGTGTACCCTATTTCTATTGTGGCCATGGAGTGTGTGTGCTGAGAGCAGAGCCCATCGTCAAACAAGAGGCATAATACCTGAGTTGTATAAGCAAGGAAGGTGAGTTTTTTTTAATCTTCTTACATGTTTTTTTACTAGCTACATATATATATATATAAGTATCATATATATATATAATACTAAAATACGTTAATGTGCACAAATGTCTATAAAATATGTAGTGAAAAATACAACATAGAATATTGTTGTCTACATAACTATGTATGGCTAGGAGCAGAAGTGTGATACGGTACATACCAAAGCTTTATATCTCTATATATCTGTTTGACGTGTTTCTTAAGCAAACTGTGGCTGTCCATCTGTAGGAGAACTAAATGTTACTGCATGCCTTTTGTCTAATAGCCAGACACTGAAAGTAATGTAAGCTTGGTGCACTACGTTTCCACATATCTTTACATATAATGTAATCCCAACACTTAAAACTAACATAATTAAACCATTACAAATGAACCTCTAACCCTTGCCCCTAACCTAACCCACTCCCTAATGGTAGATTAACCCCTACGTGTTTGTACTTGCCTTATATCTAAGCTCCAAAATGTAACTTGATGTACTTGTGCTGAATTATCAATGCTGAAAAGTCATGCTATCTCAAGAGATATAGGTTGTTTAAGCCTGCATTAGCTCACAATGTTTTAATAGGTAATCATTGCATACTTTCTTATGTGTGTTATACTGTATGTACAAGTTAACCTTTATAATATTTCCTCATGTTGTTCTCTCTATTCATCTATCTATCTACATATCTATGTACACAAAATACATTTTTATATGAAATTATCTATTGGTTAGCAATAGTGAGTTAAATGAGATTGTTATATGTGTTGACAGATCAGCGTGTTTATGCTGCCATTGCCTAGAATTTGGCAGCAAAAATTGGAATATTGATATGTGATACTTTTGTGGAAATGTGTAACGAAGCTGCACAGTACTGGCTCTGTCATCACCACTGTATTAAAACATAGATTACATGGCTGCACTGAAATGTTGCATTCCATTACCAGTAACATTAATGCAGGCATTGATGGAAGCAGGTTGCTTTATCTAAACTATTGTATATCCAAATGCTCTCTTTGTGGAGGTAGACACATCCTCCGCAATGGCTGCTTTATGTATATATAATTGGGTTAGAGCTTACCCACAATGCCTGCAGCTCAGCCACCTCCGATATGCAGTAAACAATTACTGGTTCAGGTTTATTTACAGTGCACACTGAAACATGAGCTCAATACTAGGCATATACGCTACCCATTGCAGTGCTATCTGTCATATAAGGTTTTTAAAAAATGTTTTCTTGTATGTATAGCTGATTTCTTTAGAAGAAATCCACCTGAACCTGATCTTTTAGTTGGATAATGAAATGTTCATATGTTTGTAGGCCCCAGAAAAACTCTGGCCAACACTCCTTGGCTGGGCCTGATTGGGGAAAAGTTGATAGGCTGGAGTAGATTTTCTCCAACAATGACTTTTGTTTTCCCCAAAAATATGTTGTCTGCAATGCTCCCCTCAATCCACCATACGCACAAATCCATACATTTGCCAAATGCATACAGACAAAAAACGTAATTTGAAGAATTATTCGGTGACTTGGACAATCATACATGGATGGTCTAACTCTAAAGTCTGTAGGCAACTATAGTTTTAGCTGAAATAATAAAAAATTTAATGGAAGTTGTGTACTTTAGTGTATGGCACATAATACCAGCATTTAGTTGAAGAGTAACTTTTCCCATTATATTGGTGACTAACTTAGCTCAACAGTCTAACTACAAAAAAAACAAAAAACAACCTTCACCCTTTTGAAATAGCAAGATGAGGTGCATATGAATGCCATCAAACCACAGGGGCATTCCCATATGCATTGCTGGTTCGAGAGCTAGTGTAAAGCAATAGCTCTTTTTATTTGTTTGCCCTCTCCTAAATTTTAAAACTTTCCAGACCCAATACGGTATTATGCCTCTTGATTATGTATAAGCATCTTTATACATAGAGGTGCTAATAATGTTGTTTATTTTAATCAATCCATGATTCTGATACAGGTATGAGTGTCTGTATGGCTAGAGAGTAAGCATACAATGAGACATAAATCATGTAGAAAAGAATACCCAAAAGCTATGGAAGATGTTATTTGGATTTCGGGCCCAATCACACCATGTCTGGATCAGATGCGGTACTTTACATTTTTCTTCCGCACCAAAAATGCATCCCAATGCATTTGTATATGATTTTTGGGCTCTGTTCACACCAGTCCAGTCCGTTCCAGGGCAGAAAAAAAATGCTGCATGTCACATTTTTCCTGCACTGGAAAGCACCAGAACGCGTCACAAATGCACCCCACCGGAACGCAACAGAAGCTATGACAGAGAGCAGGAAGAGATTAATTTGCATAATGACATTGCCCCCTAAAAAAAACCGCACTGGAACGCGTCACAAAAGCATCACAAACGCACTGCACCGCATTTGCAGAAACACGTGCACATCTGGTCCGGACATGGTGTGACAGAGCCCTTAGATCTGGTTCCAGAAACTCACTAGTTTGAAATACAACATATACTAAAGCCCATCTGAACTTTCCGTTTAAATCAGCTAAATGCATTCCAGGTGCACATACCTCACAACTTTCTGGGATGAGAACTCTCAGAATGACATCAAATAAAAAAATAATTTAAAGGGTGGGTTGAAAGATTTGGTGTAGTATTTGGGTCACCACCCATGTTACAATCAGACTATACAATTTCTGTACAATCAATTTTAGATTTACCAAATCTATGTAAGAGGAGGTCCAACCTCCAATCATGCAGGTCCTTGCACTACATAGTTGCTAGCATAGGCGTGCACAGCCTATTGCACACAAAAGTACAAATACACACACACACACACACATATATACAGTATATATATATATATATATATATATATATACATTATACATACATACATACATGCTTACACAGATCTGCATCCTGGATTCCCATCTCTTCAACTCTCCCTTACCTCTTTCAGCAGAGGTTCAGTAATGCGACCACTTGCCCGGCTTCCTGATTGGATGGGAAGCCTGGGAAGCCACAGCCATGCTCCCTCGCACCCTGCCAGGCACCAAGGACTATGGCTGTTATGTGAGAAATGTAAGTGGCAAGTGCTGCTGTGTTTTGTATCACTGAGGTGGTCACAGAGAGATCTTTGTGATCTCTCCACCGCCTCAGTGACTAAAAGCACGTCACCCGCTGTTGTGGTTTCGGTGTTGCACTCGGGAAGATAAGGGTGTGCCCAGGCACAGCCGTCACACCCACTGCGCATGCCTGTGGTTGTTGGTAGATCTAAAGAATATTGTACAAATGTGTGTTGTGAACTTTAGAGCCGCTGTGTGACAGTTACAGTGTTCCATGCTGGCTCTAAGTTTTAGGGAGAGCATATTTTACTCTCCCCTTATTTCTCCTCTACCACACGCGTTGCAATCTGATTATACGATCGACTTTAGATCTACCAAAACCTAGGTAGTGGAAGGGCCTGTCTGATTGGATACAGATTTTTTGGATAGATTAGGTAGGTCTTCATATTACACGTTTTTTGTAAATCTAAAATTTATTGCACAAAGACTGTATGGTCAGATTGTCATGAGTATGGTGATTCTATAACACCTTTAGTAGCTAAAGAGTGCATTTTTACTGATTTATATACATCAGAACAAAAATATGGACAACTGGAGTGGAAAGATGAACAGAGGGATATTGTTCCAAAAGATGGACAGTCCCTCCAAATGAGGACCAGTTGGGAGGTATGGTTGCATCAAAACAAAAGAAGTGCAAAGTCTTAAGGTGGCCATACACCTTTCAACCATCGCACGACTTTTGTTGAGTGATGGTTGTAAGGCGATTCAAATTCCATACACACTGCCCATCTTGGACATGCAGATCATACTTGCGATCATCGCAAGTCCTCCCCGCTGAGGGGAGGGCTTACAGATGAGTGCAATGGTGAGCGGGCTGTGTGTGCCTGCGCTCCTCGGCCCGTGCGGCTTTCGTCTTGTGATCGCGCTACCAACCAGCCGAAAATCGTACGATTTTCGGTGGATTTTCTAGCGTGCTCTTAAGACTAAAGTCGTGCGACCTTACAGAATATGCGGTCGCACGCTGTCCATACACCTGCCGATTATCTATGATCGCGGGATCACCCGCGATTATCGTACGATAATCGCCAGGTGTTTGGGCAGCTTAACAGTTTGAATTATTTAAATAACAGTGACAGCCTGAGTAGATAAGCCTTCCCACCTGGCAGCATGCTGTTGAGAAGAGCCCTTGCTCTTTGTGTGGCAGCAGTAGTCCCCCTGAGGAGGTCTGACACAAGTCCTGCTGAGTCAACCTATAGCTGTACTATCAGCAAAGCTCATGCTCCCTGCTGATTGAAGAGCTCTAGCTTTCCACCTTTTTCAGATTGAAGATAAAGAAAGAATGGTCTAGGCCAATAATGTAAAACCATCACCCCTGTCAAAAACATCATACTGTATTTCCAAATCCTAATATTTCAAAGTTAATCTGACTTTTTTTTAAAGTTTTGGATAGAGAAGAGAGGGATTGGAACACCTGTCAGGTTTTTGTTGCTGTCTGTGCCCCTTTAGGGAGATTATCCCTCTATTTGTCCGGGTGACCAGTAGCAGTGAAAGTGAAGGAATATCCCACATTTTGTGTTGTCATCAGAACAGGAATAAATGGGAAATCTTTCAATGGGGACACAAGTGCTGGTGACCCCGCTGACCACCAGGGATTTTTCTCTCTTTGGGATTTTTTCCCACTGGTTATTAGACAGGAAGTGAAAGGAAGTCTCCCCAATGAGAAACAGAAGGCAAAAACGCTGCTAGGGGTTATAACACACCCTTACTCTGTCCAATACTAAAAAAAAGTTCCGTTCTATTTTAAATCACTTACACCCTTCACCTGGACCACAGTGAAACATTGGATGGAATCGAGTATGCCAACCACAGGACTGCACTCATGATTGCACAATCCCTGAAGAAAGGGCCTGTTGGGAAACTGTTGGAACAT